ACATAGCACGTTCGTCGGTCCAAGCTATAGTAAAAGATGTACTGGGACTTCGCAGCTACCGTATGCTTACTGGACACCAACTGACCAGCGCAGCAAAAGCCAGTCGTTTGGAAAAATGCAAGAAATTGTTGGAATTTTTCGAAGTGCGCCGCCTTGAGAATGTCCTGTTTACGAATGAGAAAATGTTTACCATCGAAGGGTGTCGGAATCCTCAAAATGACCGTCAGCTAATCAGTCCGAAGGATAAACAGACACGGAAGCCGCTGATTGTGAAAATACTGCTCTTTATGCACCGTAATTTCTTTTAGCAGGGCTATGGTGAGAGGAATGTTGCGATACTACGCAAGTTCCTAAATTTGCCTACCCTTTTCCCGTATCTGTTAGATAACTTACCTGCTTCTTCTTGTAATTTGAAGTCACTGGAGACAGTGCTGTTTGAGCATGCTCAAGCTAGGCTCTTAACTGTATCGATCGCCGAACTGTGAGCTTACGAACTCACGTCCTCATGAAAATCGCCCAAACTTGAAGATCGCATATTTTGGCCAAATATCGCCGCGAATGGTTACAAAACACTGTGATTACAGATATCATGTTTATATACATATGTGAACCGATAATTTCAATACAGCATACTTGCTTACCCCCTGTGCCAACCCCTACACTTGTAGCTCAAAGTTTGCAAAAAATCGATCAATCGATTATCGACCGCTGACGAAATGTAGTCTGCGAGTGCAGCTCGATCCCTAAGTTGTGCACAGACTTCGGTCTGCATTGGCTCATAGATGCATTCTGTTGGGAGCCTACGCACAGACACACAGACATCGACGAACAGGCATTGGCCCGTGGTAAATCTCGATCAATTCAAGTGAACTGAACTTAACCTCTCAGTTGAGCTTAGGTTAGGTGAACTGATGGCCGCCTACCTTCTCCTGTTATAAGCATGGCAAGTGAACTGATAGTCGACTATCCGTCCACCTGCTGTAGTCAACTCTTGCACATCATTTACGTTCAGTTGAACTGAACGTGAACTGACGTTAAAGTAATCCAAATAGTGTGTAAAAGAGGAGACGCAGACAAGACTCCCGTAAGTTGCTCCTGAGTAACTCACGATACAAACCACTTTGCCTAACACTGCAGACAAAATGCGCAAAATTGCAAAATACTGCTACCCGAAAAGGAGAAAAATCGATGAACAGCTGTTTTTGGCGTGGAAAGGAACGAAACAGATTCTTTTCTTTTCAGTAAAGTTCGCTGACTTTTTTTTGAAGTACTGCTTGAGACAGGAAGTTAATGATTTATTTCAATGAGTTCCCTTGTTGCATCCATTTCATTTTTTCACGAAATTTTCGTCAAAAATGTGTTTTTGTTTTATCCATGCATGTGCTAGGCGAAATCCTTGATAGCGATCATCATCGATTGCGATAGTGACCGCTATCAAAGATTGGCCGGCGATGCAGCAAAAGACACCACTAGACGGAGTCGAACCACGGTCGCGCGCGTGTAAGTCCAATCACTTACCCGTTTGACCAAGCCGGCACGAGTGATCAATTTTCCAAGAAAACACTCGATTATAATGTCTAGGAAGCGATCCGCGTCCAGATCAATAGCTCACCGGATTCTAGAATGAGGCGCGATGAAATCAACTGCGGTCCGCCTCAAGGGAGCTGCCCTGATGGGGGGGGGGGGTACTACGGGCCAGTCATTGCTTTTGTTTTGGTACAGATAAATAATAACAGAAACAGTTAAAATTCCAAAGTCTGTGAATCTCACCATAGAAATCGTAGGCATCTCCCTGCAACCTTCATCACTAAATGGAGGTGAAAGCGTGGGTCTATCACTAGGTGTAGTTCTAAGGCTGACCGTTCTTGCTACTCTATTAATGCTCTTGCGTCTCTCCGTGCGCGCATCGCGCTGAGTGCATTTTCATTGACTCTCTGACACCATGACGGGATTTCCATCGAAATGCGTTGATAGTTTGGTTACAGAAAATACAAATTTCAAAAACGTTTTTCGCGTAAGAGTCGAATTCCTTTTGGCTTTGAAATGCGGAAAATTGAGAAAGTTTGCAACTGCACTTTAGAAAGAGGTACAACATATTATCTGTAACCAAACTGTACAATGCACTTCGATGGAAATCATGGTTTTATCCCGTCATGGTGTCAAGAGTCAATGAAATTGCACTCAGCGGCGATGCGCGCACGGAGAGATTCAAGAGCATTGATAGAGTAGCAAGAAGGGTCAGCCTTAGATTACACCTAGTGATTGACCCACGCTATCACCTCCACTTAGTGATGAAGGTTGCAGGGAGACGCCTAAGATTTTTATGGTAAGATTCATAGACTTTGGAATTCCAATTGTTTCTGTTATTATTTATCTGTGGCATAACAAACGAATGTGAATGTCTGTTCATCGATGCTGTGTGTCTGTGCGTCTTCCAACAGAATTGCATCTCTGAACCAATGCAGACCAAAGTCTGTGCACAACTTAGGGATCAAGCTGCTCTCGTAGACTACATTTCGTCATCGGTCGATAATCGATTGATCGATTTCTTGCAAACTTTGAGCTACCGGGCTGGGAATTGGTATAAGTGGGTGAGTGAGGGTGCTGATTACGGATACGTTATTAGTTTTCAGATTCAACTATCAACTTTTTGCAAACTTTGAGCTATAGGTGTAAGGGTTGGCACAGGGGGTAAGCAAGTATGCTGCATTGGAATTATTGGTTCATATATGTGTATGAACATGATATCTGTAATTAGAGTGTTCTGTTACCATTCGCGGTGATATTTGGCCAAAATATGCGACCTTCAAATTTTCATGAGGACGTGAGTTCGTAAGCTCCAGTTCGGCGATCAATACAGTTAAGACCCTAGCTTGAGCATGCTCTAACAGCACTGTCCCAGTGACTTCAAATTACAAAAAGGAGCAGGTAAGTTGTCCAACAGATACGCGAAAAGGGTTGGCAAATTTAGGAACTTGAGTAGTAACTTGCAGCATTCCTCTCACCATAGCCGTGCTAAATAAAATTACGATGCCCAAAGAGCAGTATTTTCATAATCAGCGGGTTTGAAAACCTTTATGGGCGAAGTTTCCGGTCAATCCAAGATCATCAATATTTTAGCCGAAACCCGTCGGCAAGCTTCGAGCCTTAAAGCTAGAAAAATCGAAGGGACCGAATCTCTCGCGAAACTTGCGCATAGAGGTTATCTAACCTGCTGATTACGAAAATACACCTGCTTTGCAAATTAGCGTCTTACTGTAGGGCTACGGTAAGTAGGAAAGGAGGATCTCGGCCAGATCGATAGAGCGCGATAAACTACCGAAACAGCTCTACCGAATCATGTTTACTAGAGTCTTCCATATGTGTTCTGCGCTCAGTTACACCGTACGAAAGCCCGTCATCGCACAAAAATTAAGCAGGCTAAAAACGGAATAGCAAGGCAGTGTAGTATATCAGAAGATTCACTTGACGAGCTGAACATCATCTTGTCTTCGGATTCATATTTTATGCAATTCGAAGGAAGTTAAGAGCAAAAGCGAAAAAAACGCGAATCGTCAATTTTTGCGTTTTCTGTCGAATAATTAGTGTGGGTACTGTACGCAGTATTTTACGGCAAAGCGGGACAGCTTCACAATCTTATTCCAACGAGGTTACTTCAAATTCTAACAAATATCGTTCACAAGGAAGCAACCCTTCGAGAAACAAAATTCTACAGCAAGGGGGAGGAGGTAACAAATCTGAAGACTATAACTTTGCGGCACATCAAAAGTCAGTCCCTTTCAATTTGGAGAAAATTCGACATTTTCAAACAAGCGAAAAGCACTGCAGCATTCAAGCGCAATTAAATACCATACTCTTCTGCAATTCGTACCAACACACTGCTCTTGAGTCGAAACATAAGCTAAGGTGAGTACTCTAAGGTAGAGCTTGAATTACAGAACATATTTGTTTGGGAATTTTCGAGAAATTTTGTGATTAAAGGAGTAAATTATGACTTTGTTTAGTCTCGCGCAACTCTAGGGTGCTCTCAGGTTGCGCGGGTGAACCCAAAATAGAAATTACTACATCATTAATATAGTCGAAATCTTTCAAAATTTCCTTTTGATCATCGTCGCTAAGCTATACACCAATTTTGATGAGTATTTGATGGTTATATTTTAATGGATATATTTTCTCAATATTGCAAAATCGTTGTGAACAAACTGATTTTTTTGTTCAAGGAAGTCATGTTTCAAAGGCAGTGTTTCACCAAAACTGCACTGGTGCGGTCTCCACATATCTTGCTAAAGGATCCTCTGAATAAGCGACCGCACCAAGTCCAACTCAGTCTGGGCCCTTCTACGCCGAGAAATTTGCCAAGGGTCCAAAAAGCGCGATTTAGCCCGTACGGCCGACGCTTTCGGTTACCCTCATACGCGTTTTAGCATCCCCTCCACTTGGCGTCCACCTCCATGATGTTGCCGCCACTGTGGCGGAGGCCGAAGTTAGAAGCCACAACTCCTCCACTTGTTTCCGCGGGGCCTTCATAATACGGAATTTTCATACAATTTTTGAAATTTCGGACTCTCACTGGGTTAGAGAAGGATGAAAAGGCTTGCAATATGCAAAAATCTTGACATTTCGGTGAGACACAGATTTTATATAGTCTTTTGGAATCGTCGGCCGAAAGTACTACTGAAAGACGTCCATTACTTCTGTGGACTGTTCACCAAATGGACTTTTTTTATCAATTAAAAGCACCTAAATAATAGCTCCCAAAAGATTACAGTCGAGTAGATTTCTCGCCTGATATTGTTACCAAGAATTCCAAGTTGGCACATGAACGAGTAACTGCCGCTTCTTGCGCACGCCAAATGCCTGCATTATTGGCCTGAGTACTCCGTTCATGCGCAAGATTGGCAGCAAAATCACAGCACTGCAAAACGCTGTTTTGAGTCGATCATCTACTGTAAGACAACACTTCAAGTCGCATTGAATTCTCCTTTAGTTCTGCTCGTGAATCATTAGAATCCGCTTTATACAAAGCATCAGTCGGTGCTTTCTCACTGCTTTAAATCAGAGTCTCAATGGCTGCTATACTCCTCAACAATGATTTTCATCTTTGATGACGTTGAACGCTTTCCATAGGAACGTGCTCGATATACATGTGGTACCTCCTCCTCGCACATATTGCGATGTCTGAAAAGCGTCCTTATTGTTTTTTTATTGCAAGCGATCTTACGGAAGCCATTATGTGATCTTGAAAGAAACTTACCATTCTGTTGATGTCTCCGATACACACCCAAGGCTTGGTAGGATCTGTTGACCTTGCCATCTTCGAGTGGTCTTTCGTGTACTTGAATTCCGAGGTCGAACCAACCTAGAAGATTGGAATTGGTTTGTGCACAACAGTAAAGTATTGAGCTATTCTCCGAATATGTACCACAATATGCAAATAGAAAAACTGTGTTTGAATGTGAATGAGTCTTATTTAGAGTAAAAATGTGATTCCGCATGAAAGATCACCTTGTAGGTTTTTCGAACTGTAACAAATATGAGATTCATAAAATACAGCACACATTCATCTTTGATACAATACCGCTCACATTTTTTGAAAAATAGACGCGAATGTATGGACATGCATGGACATGTACGGACATGTCCATACATGTATGGACATGTCCGTACATGTCCGCACATGTCCATACATGTATGGACATGTCCATACATCAGCGTCGCGTGGCCATACCTCGCTTCAGAGTGGACGAATTCTGAATCCAAAGCCACCATTCGATTCAGCTCGGCGCGGAGATTCTTCCTATATATTGGAAGTGGGGGTACGATGTCTTCGATATTCCGTTTTCAGTTTTTTCAATTTGTTCTGCGGAGGTCTTTTCGCGAATATGTGAAGCAATGCCTATCCAACATAGAAGACTTTACTAAGTACTATTCGATAATACTGTTCTTGTAGGTTATTGTGCGCTAAAAAGTAGACTCAGACTTCTTTTCAAAGGAGATAGAAGCATTGGTGAATTTTGGAAAAATCACGCGTTTCTAAATACTCGCCATAACTTCCTTCGGAACAAGTATATTTTTAATCCGAAAACAGCGCTTTGCTCAGCTCATCAAGGCGAATCTTCTCATGTACAGCATGTCCTTGATATTTCGATTTCAGTATTCTTAAATCTTTTTGAGGACGTCTTTTCGCGAAGGTGTAAAGCAGCGAGCATTGTCCCGAGTACATTCCAGCAAGGATATTTTGATGGCACTTTTTCTGTAGATTATGATGTGCTAAATAATAGCCGCAGGTTTCTTTTCAAAGGAAGTAGAACGGCGAGTGAATAGTGGAAAAATCTTGTCGTCCCAAATTCTACTCGATACGAAGCTATCTTGCTAAGCAGATGTGAGTTTCGAAATCAGCAGGTCGCATAACCTCTACGAGCAAGTTTTCCGGTACGTTCGGATTATTCCATTTTTTCTCGTTTTACGCTCCGGAAGCTCGCCGATGGATTTTGGTCAAAATGTTGATGCTCTTGAATTGTAGGGAAACTTCGCTCATAGAGGTTTTCGAACACGCTCTTTGCGAAAATCGTGGTCTTTGAGGATTACAGAGTCTTTTTGGAGAGATACGGTGAGGTGACTGTAACTGCAGCACGAAAGTGCGTATTTTGGCCGCACTTCTCGCGTATCTGTCAGAAACCTTGCCTGCTTGCTTTTCTGAGTCAAAGTTACTAGGAATTGTGCTATCTAATGGTGCACTACTCAGGCTCCAGTCCGTGAAATTCGCCGAGTTACGAGCCTACGAAAACACGTTCTCATGAATTTTGCCCAAAATGTAAAGATCGCATATCTCGTCGAAATTCCTCCGAGAGCGCTTGTATGACGCTCGTTGCAGGTCTTATGTTCGCTTCGTCGAACGACTCCCACTGTACTGAATATGGTGCTTGCGTCTGCTTCAGTTGCTCAATTGAATATCAAAGCTATTTCGTGGCTAGAGCTCAAAGCACCAAATCTAACACAATAAGATTCATTAAAAGATTCCGGATACTTTACAGTCTTAGAGCACGAATGTTTTTGAACGCAGAGTCAACACACTTGATCTCTTACGTTTGAGGCATTCTGAGAATGAGTAATGAATAGCACCAAGTCGTCATCTGTATTGCTATAGCTGGCCATGTGCGATTACATTATCCGACCACAAAATGCATACCAAATACAACCATCAATTTGTGTTTTTTCAATATTATTTTCTTTCAAATGTCTTACTAACCCATATCTTGCTATTACGTTAGTTCAGGTCTAATCAATTTACTTCTCTTCCCAATCATTACAGCTTGTTGACTTGCTCTTAAATGAATCACAAAAAGTGAAACTATTTGATATTATTTCGGAGTCATTGGACTCTCCCCGGAACCATTTGTGCAAGGTTGATTGGTATTACTGCACCAACCGAGCCCCGCTTTGCTTCATTATTGCAAGAGCATCTTCTGCTGGCAAATGATTGGCATGATTGCCATCTCCATAGATTACAATAACCTAACTTGATCACGCTCACGTATGAGTTATCCATCATTACAACCCTTATTGAAATTCACTTGGAGTCACTGGCTCACACTGGTTTACTGGTTTGGTGGGGTCGGATAATATACCCACCATCAAACCTTGTTTGCTTGTTAAAATCAAAATATTTTGCTGGCAGAAGGGGGCATGGGTACATCTCCATAAATCGCATCATTTAATTTCGATAATTATAATCATAGAGCAGTCAAACACAAGCTTTCATCACATTTATATCAAGATTAGACCTAAACTAATGATGCACTATCGTTGCGGTTGGAGTATAAATGACTGCTTTCTATTCCATTGTATGGAACGCCAGGAGCGTATAGAATAAATAAATAAATAAATAAATAAATAAAAATGTGAAAGGATTCGATCAGCGCGTTGCACAAGTGCTCACGGAGGAATTTCGACGAGATATGCGATCTTTACATTTTGGGCAAAATTCATGAGAACGTGTTTTCGTAGGCTCGTAACTCGGCGAATTTCACGGACTGGAACCTGAGTAATGCACCATTAGATAGCACAAGTCCTAGTAACTTTGACTCAGAAAAGCAAGCAGGCAAGGTTTCTGACAGATACGCGAGAAGTGCGGCCAAAATACGCACTTTCGTGCTGCAGTTACAGTCACCTCACCGTATCTCTCCAAAAAGACTCTGTAATCCTCAAAGACCACGATTTTCGTAAAGAGCATGTTCGAAAACCTCTATGAGCGAAGTTTCCCTACAATTCAAGAGCATCAACATTTTGACCAAAATCCATCGGCGAGCTTCCGGAGCGTAAAACGAGAAAAAATGGAATAACCCGAACGTACCGGAAAACTTGCTCGTAGAGGTTATGCGACCTGCTGATTTCGAAACTCACATCTGCTTAGCAAGATAGCTTTGTATCGAGTAGAATTTGGGACGACAAGATTTTTCCACAATTCACTCGCCGTTCTACTTCCTTTGAAAAGAAACCTGCGGCTACTATTTAGCACATCATAATCTACAGAAAAAGTGCCATCAAAATATCCTTGCTGGAATGTACTCGGGACAATGCTCGCTGCTTTACACCTTCGCGAAAAGACCTCCTCAAAAAGATTCAAGAATACTGAAATCGAAATATCAAGGACATGCTGTATACCGAAAGATTCGCCTTGATGAGCTGAGCAAAGCGCTGTTTTCGGATTAAAAATATACTTGTTCCGAAGGAAGTTATGGCGAGTAGAATTTAAAAACGCGTGATTTTTCCAAAATTCACCAACGCTTCTATCTCCTTTGAAAAGAAGTCTGAGTCTACTTTTTAGCGCACAATAATCTACAAGAACAGTATTATCGAATAGTACTTAGTAAAGTCTTCTATGTTGGATAGGCATTGCTTCACATATTCGCGAAAAGACCTCCGCAGAACAAATTGAAAAAACTGAAAACGGAATATCGAAGACATCGTACCCCCACTTCCAATATATAGGAAGAATCTCCGCGCCGAGCTGAATCGAATGGTGGCTTTGGATTCAGAATTCGTCTACTCTGAAGCGAGGTATGGCCACGCGACGCTGATGTATGGACATGTCCATACATGTCCATACATTCGCGTCTATTTTTCAAAAAATGTGAGCGGTATTGTACTTCGGGAATTTTCTAATCGTTTGTTCACCAGTGTGCATTTTTGTTTATGAGTAGTCATCTGGCTAATTTCACTTTTACGTATATATTAGGGTGTCCCATAATTGTTTACCGTTTTCACTCTAAACTTCAGCATTTCTCGAGAGCTGGGGCACCTACAAGAGATACAAATACATAATCATACTTCTGTATGTATGGGCCATATGATCACATGCGTGGGAGGAGCTCAAGACGTTTAGGGCGGAGCTTGCTACTTTACCTCATTCATTTTTTTCTTTATTTCTAACCATAAAAAACTGGAAAGTGTGCAATCGAATGTGCGATGTGTCAAGCATATGCTAAAATAAATGGGGAGTTTTTGGACACTTTGGGGCGGTACGATTTTTGAGTTCGTTTTCGACTACTATGAGATTTCAGCGGACTTTGTGCAGACTTTTGATAGCCATCTTGTAGAGCTTGCTTTGTCCTGTCGAATGATTACTCAAGCCACATCACATGAAGAAAAGATACCAAAAGACGGCAATTGTACTAAAAACGGTAAATTGTGAGACAACCCTCATATAAACGAAGAGCGTGTAGTCATGTTATTTGCAATCTGATGGCAGTAGTGTACACCGCGACTTCCGATTTCTTAGGCTCCCAATTTCTACAGCTTTTTCAGCAGTTTCAGTTTCTATGTATTATCTCCAATTTTCGCGAGGGATCCTACCAATTCTTCAGAATTCTCATAGTCTAAGTGTCCATAAAAATTTTCAAATTTTTTCATGTTTTCTTTCATACTTGTTTAAAATCGTAGCTAATTGATACAGGAATAATGGAAGAATTTCTAGAAATTCACGCGCATTACGCAAGGGACGTATTCTGCATGTGAAGGAACGTAATGCTTTATTTCCAACAGCCTAGTGAAGGTTTGGACATGAAAATCTTGTTCTCAGAGCGTCGTTCAGAGGAAAAGCAGTAAGGTTGGAACGGATTTTACTATGGTTGTAGCGGTACCTATTTACCGTGACAGGATCGTAGTGTTACCTGTATTTCCAAAGCATCATTAGTGTGATAGGCGGTGGTGCATGATAGAGGTATCTAAAATAATATCATTGACTGCATGTATGAAAAATAGTATAAAATAGTAAGAAGCACTCTGGTCTCGAAAAAATAACTCTTAGAAAATTTGATTGTAACAAAGTTGACAAGTACTTTTCATTTATTCTTGTAACTAACTCTTACGGCAATTTCAAAACTGTCATATATGAATTTTTTTCGCACATTTCATGAATTCCCTACGATTATTTGCAAGATAATAGTGCAGTAATTAAAACGGTCAGATTGTACCGCGCACACTGGGACAGCACCGCAGTTTCCCGCTATTCGATGTTTTTTGAATTGGCAATACGATTCTTTATATATTAGATATACAAAATTTTCGATAAAAGATGAAATGCGGGAATTTAGAGCAGGATTATATTCTCAAGTCTTTTGATAGGGCTCTTCGATAATCACCTGCACTGGAAAATATGTTTCAGTTTCTGATTAACTGTAATGATGACCCCTTGTGATATGCATGGTTTGAAATCCATTATTTATTATTCCATTACATCCTACTAGATTTTTGCTTCCGTAAAATTCAATTTTCGCCACCCCTGTTCTCATAAGCTCTTACCTCCGATCCTCGTCGCCATGTCTCCGCGATAAGGTCCGTCTGAAGAATAGGAGCAACCAAACCGTCGTAGAGATCTCAAAGAAAGTTTTTTTCATTAGTTTAGGAAGAAAAGAAAATTTACCGTACCGTTATTGAACTGATTGCTTTTTGCAAATGAGGTAAACTTTTGTCCATTGATAGTTGTCAGAGTTAGGGTGTTGAAATAAGGCTCTCCTTGCTTATATTTGCCAGCGATAACCTAAACTTTACACTTTATCTTTAGCATTATTTAGTAGATCATTACCTGTGCCAAGACTGGGAAATCAGCTGCCATTTTCGTAGGAAGCTGTGAAGAATAGATATCGGGTTTGTTATAGTATAGCTGAGTAGCTATAACAATTGAAATTTTAGGAGAAGTAGCAGGGACAACGGAAGAAGTATACCTATGCCTTCTAGAGCAGCATAATTGAAGCTAAGACATAGCATCGTCTGTCCGTAATCGTGTCCGGTAGCTGGATACTCGTAGTGATCTGGTGGAGGGAATTTCGGAACGCTGTGAATTAGCCATACACCACTGGTACTGTCAAAGAAGATAGTGCCTGAAAGAATTTTGACTCAAGAAATATGGTAAAAGGAAATGGCCATCATATTGCCTTAAATAGGCAATGCTATGTAAGGACGAAAAAAAAAACCTATTGGACCCACACGTTATCGAATCATACCTTTGGTGTGTCCGAACTGTATGGTAGGCAATTCGGCTCGATTGCTCATAAGGGCGTCGAGAAGTGTTGGAGATGTAGAGTTATATGGCTGTAGAATTGCAGGTTTGACAGACATAGGACATTTGCTTTGACATAAGACACATGGTCTCAAAAAGAAATGTGGCGATGATAACTTTCCGTTTCCATACCCAACTTTTAAGGAACTGTGGGTAGTTACTGTAGATTTGCTTCAGTTATGAACTCTTCAAGATATTACAAATTTTGGTGAGGTTTTCGAACCCACATTTCGGCAGAATTTGCTTGGAAACTATTTCAAGTGATATCTAGGTATCTAGATTTGTAATTGTTGGGGAGCCGATGTCACGATATATCTAATGTAGGACAAGCTTACGACAAAGCGTTGGAAACAGCAGTAGCAACTAATCTGGCAGCCTTTGCAAGTTTTTCTTAGGAAACTGGAGTTTCGCCTTTTAGTGGTACAAAGTCCCCTGTATTGCTCATACCGGACCACAATAATAAAAATATTCGTAATTCGTATGATTGTGGTTTGTTCTACTCGTATTGCAGTGTCCCCCCCCCCTCCGAGAATGGGTCAAATGAATTTTCAAATCTTTTTAAGTATATAATTCAGTTTTATGGAAATAATTTTTCGGGGTCGTGGGCCCGCAAAAATCTTAGGAATCACATCAAAAAATTTCTCGGATTGCTTGGCTGGCCGACGCAACTTCATCAGAAAAAAATTTTCCTCCTCCCTTTTCCGGAATGGAAATCCTGTGTAGGCCACTGTCGTATGGTATGAATAATTCGAGAACAAAATTAGATAGACTGAACACCGGAATAGAAAAACTGAACTTTAGAGTCGAACAAACCTCATCATTGTACATAACGTGAAAGATAGTGGAATCAAACTGCTTCGCATAATACTGGTTGAGAGTGTAAGCAATAGCCTAAAGTTTTAATGCACAATGAGTAACTCTAAATAGGATAGCGGTCACCTGGTCCTTATCATCCAGAGTTTTCTGTGAAGGTGTTAGAGCTCCCTTGTTGTTGGAGTCAACATAGTACCATGCGACACCTTTTTGTATTCCTGGTACAGAATTGTCCGCGTTTTCCATGGGCATTTTGTATACAGCGAACCTAGGATATGTATCTAAACCTTATATATACATACATATATTCTTCTGTTATGGTCTTGAAATGTGTGGTACATGCGCATGGAATGTGGTTATCTCTATTTATATAAAGCAGAAAATCTGTGAGTTTGTTTGGCGCATTCGGGTGCAGGTTGTGCAGAATGTACAGGATGTGCAGGATGTGCAGGATGTGCAGGGTGTGCAGGGATGTGGAGGATGTGCAGGGTGTGCAAGGTGTGCAGGTGGGCAGGGTGTGCAGGATGGGGAGTTTAGACTGATAGATTGGCTCCAAACCGGAGTAAAACCCGGAATGCTTGCTCGTAGACCTATATGCCATACATGAACAACATCTGCTAAAGTTTATGCGAAAGCTTCTAAAGCAAAAACTCAAACGCATGCACAGAACAGCCCTTTGACGCTAATATGGAGCAACTTTGAATGTAACAACATAGTGTGGTAGCTTCTAATCTAACATAAATACTGCTCCATCTCACACTCGGAGCACGTCCTAAATCGTGCTATGGAGTTTTCACAAAAAAAGACGTTTTTATTTCCGAACCATGATTCTCAAAAGAGGAGTGAGGCTTGTAATCAGCGCCTCTGTCTCATTTCACTCCTGTTCATGATATAGATAGTCACTTCGGCTAAAAGTACAATACTTCTCTTATAAATTGACATCTGACATTGATCACAATTGACATCAAGCTCTCCAACTCATTAACTTTGGTTCATCAATCAAATGTGACTACCATTCTGCAGCCAGAAGAAAATTTATTTTCTAGAATTAATAATTACTACGCATTTCATTGCAACATATTACATTACGAAACGTAATTCAAAGATCTGAGTTGTTTGAAGCTGCAACTCAGAAGCAGTACATTCTTCAAGTTTGTTTGTCTTTCAATGACAGCAATTCGCTTTTGCTTGCTTTATAGAAGAATGACGATAAATAAACAGAAAAAAAAAACGAAATTGACTTACCACTCCACCGGCTCATTGTTCTGATCCTTACAGACGAAGCAGTAGGCACTGGATATGAGGTTACAAAGTAGCAGATATTTTAGCATGTGGAAAGGGAAGGACTTGAAAACCTGGAAATTAATTCAAAAAATGCTAACAAACACGAAATTAATTACTAACTAGAAAAAATATTTAAGTTAGATTTATTGTCCGAATTGATGTTTTTCAAAAATGAACATCAGAGATTTACTAGGTCTACTACCAGGTAAAAGGCAGCAAGACCGAAAAAACCCTCGAACATATGATAAGGGTGTCGGACACATGATAAGATAACATTTCTTGGCATATCTTCACACGCCTCGCCATGGAATGCAGCATATCAGCTAATTTATGAAAGTATACTTTAGTTGGCTCGAGCGGGGCACATCGCCGAAGATTTGTGCCGAAAATTGGAAAAACAAGAAGAAACCAAAAAAACAAGAAAAAGAAACAGAACATAGCTTCAAGTTTGAACCATCTCACAAATTAAAATTTAGGGACAGTGGTTGACACACTTTGTGAGAATTTTCAATTAGTTTTTAATTTCTTATCATTCTTCCACACTTTGGGAGTGCTTCCCAAATAATCTGTACAAGGTCTATCTTTTATTAGTCTTTCAAGAGAAGACATGCTAGTCGTTATATTTTCCTGCTTTTCCTGCTATATTTCATCAGCTTCATAACTTGTTTAAGTTAACAGCAACAATGCCTCAGTTGTCTGATACCAAAACGATAAGCACGCGGGATAGTTTGTGATCTCTTTGAGCAGTTCTGGTCATCTTTCAGACGAATTAGGGGTAAAGGAAACGACTATGCTTTTCACTCTCCATAGCTTATACAAGGCAAGCAGTAGAGAACGTAGGTGATAATATTAGGTCGTTTCAAAAGTTCTTTCCGTTTTTTCAACCTATCATAAAAACACTTGGAATGAAGGGAAACGCTTCAGGTGTTATCTGACGCAGCTTTTTTTTCTCTTTTCAACTTTTGTATTACTGTGCCGATTGCTGTTGTGGTCAGTGAGATAATGTCCGAACTTTTAAACCCATGGTTTTTACCATGTCCAACTTTGGCAATTTTTCACAGTCTCCTTTTTTGACTTTTGGAACACCTTTGATAGCAGTCAAATAGAGTAAAAAAGTGCACTTCAATGCAATCTTTCGGCATCTATAGCTAGCCTAAAAAATTTTAGAATCATTTTTCTGATGCTATCAAATTCCACTTTTGGGGAAGCCAAGAGCCATAGAACATGAAACGGCGCATAGCTAAGATATCATTCGATGCAGATTTTTCTTCTCTTTCCAATGATGTTTTTCTTTCCAAGTTGCGGGGTTTTTGGCGATAAAATTTCCATAATTCTTGATTTTGAACCCCCTAAGGGTGTACACGTGCAATGCGAAATCTTACATTTTGAAGAGGTAAACGCTCAGTTACTTTGTAAAAATAGTAGACAATCATTAGAGACTTTTGAAAATTTTGAAATCCGAAGACTTGTTATTGTTCGGAGCGTCTGTGTGTTCTGTGTCTTCGAGTGAAGACTTCTTGAAAAGTTCTCTCAAAAAATATTAGAAAGTAGTTGAAATTGCCAAAAAATTGAACTGCATTGCACTTTGTTTGCTCTATCCGACTGCTATCAAAGCTTTTCCAAAAGTCAAAAAAGAAAATTGTGAAAAGTTGCCAAAGTTGGGCATGGTAAAAACCATGGATTCGAAATTTCGGCCATTATCTCACTGACCACAAGAGCAAGCGGCAGATTAATACAAAAGTTGTAAAGAGGAAGAAAAGCTGCCTTGATAATGCCTGAGCCGTTCCCTATCCTCCTTTCAAGTGTTTTATGAGGTTGAAAAAACGGAAAGAACTTTTGAAACGACTTAATATAATAAGAAAAGGAAATTTTTTAGAGCGATAATAATCAGATTAACATTCTGAAGTTTTTTCATGCTAGTTCAAAGGTACTTGCTGACAATGGTAGGACTTTCCAAGTTCTTCGTGATGTATAAATGTGAAAGTATAAAAATTATTGTAAAGTATTCGTAGCTAGGACATCAGCTCCGATGGGCTATTGTTTATGAAAGGCAGCGTGTTCTATAAACATTACCACAATCGCCCTCGGAAAGACAATACTACAACGCATGGACTTTTCCGAACCTGTAATGAGATAGCTGCATTCTTGCTTCATGAGATCAAGTCTTAAGCTGCAAGCGAAGAAACATTTTCACCTTTTTCCTCGGAAATGAAAAAACATTCCAGCAAAACCAATTCATTCTATAGCGTGTGTCCCGAAACGATATCTACAAAAGTCCACCGGAAAGCGGGCTTGTCATTGAAACCAAATTGAATGGGCATAGGCAATGCGTTACGATAAAATATCACATTTGCGGCATATTCAAGCCATAAAAAAATGCTTTAGCTGCCTGATCTCGCTACTTGCCCTGAGTTGTCGATGTAATTCCCTTAAAGGCAGCGTACACCCAGAATCTAAGTTACCGAATTTCCTAAGTTACTGTGTATATACTGGGCCCAGAAGAAGACCAACTGCGTTGGTCCGGTTTCCCAATGTTGCTTCTGAGCGGAGAAAACCCCCCTCACTTTTCTTTCACTCCGCCTCCTCCGGGCGAATCCACGACAGCATATGCAGCAGTTGCAGTTGCAACTGCAGGCTGTCATGCAGTTGCAGCTGCTGGCATGCCGACGAGGACGAGCAGTTCGAAACTCGTCCGACCCTGAAGAGAGGGTCCTCGGAAATCGGGGTTTTTTGGGACTTTTGGAGGGTTTCAATGATATAACTGTAATCAGCGGCACGGAAAGGCCCCAGAATGACAAAAACGAAGGTAAAATTTTGGGTGTACGCTGCCTTTAATTCCAATTTCACTAACTGATGCTTTTATTTTATAGTAATAAAGGAGTTTAATTTTCGACTTACTATTCTCAAATATTACGTCTTACAAGAACATTTTTATATTTTGGTATTGGCTTAATACAGAGGAAGAAGGAGAAACGGTTGATAACTGTGGCTTTCCCGCTTGCCATTTTGGGGATTATTAGGCAGTGTTACGGGAAAAATACTTAATACTAACTCTATACTGAAGATCTCATGAAATGGTCAAGTCAAAAGAGTATATGTGTTTCACTACGCTTCGCTCCATTGCAATTCAGAAAAACTCAAGAGTTGCGCTCAGCTATGTAGTAAAAGTCCAAAGAATACATAGTCTTCATCCATACTATTATATAAAGCGCTAGCACCCCCATGTGAGTCAGCATGGTGTGTGTATGTTCCGGTGTTGTTTACCACTAATGGCAACGCGCCCGGCGGCCAAGATGAGTCGCGCTGATGACGTCATACAATGCTGCCTCCAGAGTTTTCGGTCATGTTCTCTAGCGATGTTTATGAGTTGGCACCAAAAGCGAAATTAACACCTCTTGAACTGGCTGAACTGATTAAGCTGTTCCACTGACTGTAATAGCTTCATTTCGAAAATCATCAAGGGTTGGCCAAATCGTTTGTACATTATCCCAACACCATTACGTTCTTTTTTTTACATCTCGCTTCTCTATTTCTATTATGGAGCGTTTAATTTGGAGGGGAGCATAAGTTTTTCGGAAAAGTTAGGTATTTAATTTACTGCAGTCTACCATAGTCCGTTTCTCGAGTGCCTAGTATGTTTCCTCACCGTAACAGTAGCCCCAAATCTTCAATTATTCTGTCCTTCTAATTTTCCTGTTAACGTATCTCAGCAAGAAGAAGTTCTCCGTGAAGTGCTTAGTGAATGTTAATATCCCAGGTAAACTGCACTAAATCTGTTTTTGGAGGATTCTCGCAAACTTTGCTCCGGACAATCTTTGTCTACGATTTTTTACGAATAAGCACTTTGTTTGAAATGCCTACACCACAGGCTCTTTAGACTTTCTTCCCAATTCACATGCAAAGATGTTTGTCAAAGTTGATGGACTTCGAAATTTTTGGACTCCATTGAGTTGACATCCCAATACTGGGTGAACCTTTTAGATAGTTGCCAACAGTTGTAGGAAACACTATTTTTCCAAACGAATACAGCTTGGTTCATGCAAATTGTCTTCAGACTCGATGAAAGCTGGATGCAAACACTTTCTTCAGCTAGGAAAAGTAAACTCTAAAGAACACTTTCAACTTCCCGAGTTTTCCTTCAAACATTGAAAATTCGAAGAGTAATGTAAAAGAATGTCAATGCGATCGCGTTTGATATATTAGGACTAAATGCTGTATGAATCTGCCTTTAGTATCTCAACTACGAATAAGAGACAAGGTGGCATGCAAGTTAGCTTTACGTAAACTAAAGCTTTACTAACGTACAGCGCAGCTGCCAGAATATTGCACAACCTCAAAATTGTATAAGAAACGAGATCTGCCTAGGTGAGCAGCTAGAAGCATGGACACCTTTAAGTAGGTTCCTTCAAGAATTTGAGCTTGCTCAATAAGATGACCTGAAAAATGATCGATTTTGGAGCCTACGTATGAATTGCAAGGATGCTGGATATTTTGGGAATTTCATAAAACACGAACGAGAGTTTCTTGAAATGGAAGACAAATAATGACGCTCTCAAAAAGAATACTTCTGAAAAGAAAAAGGGAGTGTTCGAATTTGAAACTCTAGACTTGGTAGTTTGGTAGTTTCCATTGTTGGCCATATATTTTCAAGAATAACAATTCGAATTTTCTTGCTAGTTTAATTTCGGGAAGAGATGAAAGTAGTCTGATTGAAGCTTCTGGGGGGGGGGGGGGAGGGGGTTCTAAGGCAGTTTGGAGGGTCAAATGTGGGAAGCAGGGCCCCGGGTGGGAAGAGTGCACATGGCTGGGATTACTTTATCGGGTTTGGGACGGGCGCTTCAATCACAAAATTTTTTTGCGTTACGTTTTTTGACGTGTAAAAGTTTGAGAGCATCCGAGAAACTTCGCAGCATGGAGAACTCAGGCTAAGCCTGTCTTCGTGATCAGACTGAACATTTGAAAAAGCAGATTTGGGGGCAACTTTCGAAGCGTGAGTCAGAACGGCCTACTACGACTAGTGCCCCCATAAAGAGTGTGAGAATGCGAGAAGAGATTGGTACTTCAGCAAAGTTG